GAGAAGTCCTGCAGAAAAAAAAAAAAAAAAAAAAAAAAAACCTATTGGGGTCAGTGTCTCAGACTCCACAAAACTGCTCTGGAGAGGGCAGTTTGGAGACTGCAGATAATGACCAACCTCCTCACCTACAGATGGGGTCATGAGGCTCAGGTGCTTTGGGGATAGAGCAGACAAAGACCTTGGGCTATGTGCTTCTCCATACACAGAGCGCAGGAAAACAGGCAGCGGCTTGCCTGACCCACTAATCTGGTTTTGTAGAGAATTTTTTAGTGAAGATTTTCTTTGTGTACACTGTGTGCATGTGTGTGTGTGTGTGTGTGTGTGTGTGTGTGTGTGTGTGTGTGTGCTCTCGTGCGTGTGGGGGTTGGAGGAGGAACTCGAAATTGTTTTCTCAGGTCCTGCTTCCCCCCCCCCCCCCCCATGAGATAGGGAACCTAATTATGGGAACCTACCAAGTAGGCAAGGTTATCTGGCCTCACCCTTAGGCGCAAGGGTTCTTGTGTCTCTGCCTCCCTCACTCTGGTATTACAAGTATGTGCCAGCATGTCCCACCTTTTTAAAAACATGGTTTGTAAGGCTCAAACTTGGGTCCTTGTGTTTGCAAGGCAAATGCTTTGAGCAGCCTCCCCAGTTTCCTTGATTAATGGATGAACCAGTCTAAACCTGAGAGGAGGGCTGACTGGTCCAAAATCACACAGCTAACTGGGAGCCCAGCAGAAACAAATTCTAGATCTCTAAAATTCTGATATTCCCTAAAACATGAGCCAACTGCTCACAGTGGTTTACCTGTTCTCCTGCACCCCGGAAGCTAAGGCAGGAGCATCTCCAGTTCCAGCAGCCAGGACTGTATCGCAAAACTCTGTCTCAGTTGATCAATCTGACAGGTGGCAGAAGGTGAGGCCTGGAGCTTGTACCTGCTCTCCATTGTTCAGCGCTTGTATTGACACTGCCCCTTTCCACAGCTGAAGGAGTCACCTCCACCCCCACCAGGGCTTTCTCCCACTGACCTTGGTAAAGCTGCATTAGCTTGTACAGTCTGAGGGCCTCCCTCTGCCCTCTACCCACTTGCCATAGCAGAACGGGGCTGGCATCATCATGTGAGCAAGGGTAAACAAAGCAACTAGTGTTTAATTCTGTACCCACTGCGGTAAAAATGCCATTGGCTTCTCTCCAGTCTGCCAACTGGAAACCATTGAGACCATTTGGACAGGAACTGGGCAGAAGGCAAATTTGCCTGCTTCAGGAAGAGCTTGCTGAGATAATGAATCATGTAAATAGGATCCAAGGAGGGCTGCTGGTCATGTAAATTCCACTCAAGGGCTCTCAGCCTCTCTGAAAGGCACTGTCCTTCTGTGGTCAGCTATTTACATTTTTAAAGGGGAGAGAAGGGATGGGTGGATATGTATATGAACTTGGGCTTACCGTTATTGGTTATTGCAATAGCATGCACAGCACACTCTGTTTACCCTATGTACAATATAGATGGTTTCTCCTATCAGCTCATGAGGACATTTTAGTTCTCCTGGTTCAGCTAACCAGCTGTACTAATAAGGGAGGTTTTATTAACCTCTTTGCCAGAGGGAGGAGCATTTCTTACCAACCCCTGATGGTTCACACATGCCAGAGGGCTAAAGGTTAACTCAAACAGCTGCAGGGACAGGACATTACAGCCTCTGGGTGGCCCATGGCAATTCATCTTGGGGACCAGATTGTCCACATGGCCCTTCCAGAACTGAGAGATACAGTCTGTGACTGAGGTAGAGGGTAAAAAAAAAAAATAGTCCCATGTGGGTGGCAGCTGGGCCCAGCGGCATCTTATTCCTTCTCTCTAGAGAAGTGTGTCGACCCAGTAACAAACAGCTCCTGGGTTTCTGAGGCCCCACCCTGCACCCTGGACTGCTCATCCTTCCTGTCAGTTAGAAGCACCCCACACACATCTCCCCACACACATCAAGAGCTGGAAAGGGTGTTGACACTGTTGTGAGTTAACCAGGTTTAAATACTGTCTGTACTGCACTACCTTCTGTGCCCTCGGGCAAGGTTTTTCTCCTGAGTCTCGATGGGACCAAGGAGTTCTTCCTCCAAGGTTTGCTGGGAGAGTGCAAACACAGCGAGAGATGCTACTTCATTTTGCAGCCTCAGTTTTTTCTTTCCTCTCCCTTTTACTGGTTGTTCACCTTCTAGCACATTCTCCCAGTGTGGCCGTGAGGAAAGTCAGGCATCCCCATGAAAAGGCCGGTGTGAGGGATTGCGGTTCTCTCCTGCCAACAGCCCACTGAGGAAGGGTGGTGGCTTGAATGAAAATGGTCCCCATAGGCTCATAGGGAGTGGCACTATTAGGAGGTGTGGCCTTGTTGGAATTAGGTGTGGCCTTGTTGGAGGAAGTGTGTCACTGGGGGTGAGCTTTGAGGTTGCAGATGCTCAAGCCAGTCCCAGTGGCTCATTCTCTGTCTTCCTGATGCCTGCTGATCCAGATGTGGAATTCTCAGCTCCTTCTTCAGCATCATGTGCGCCTTCATGCTACAATGCTTGACACGACGATAATAACTAACATGACGTAAACCTCCGGCTTCGTCTGATAATGGACTAAGGCAGGCCCAATTAAAAGTTTTTCTTCATATGAGTTGCCATGGCCATACTGTCTCTTCACAGCAATAGAAACCGTAAAGAAGACAGGGAGATATCTGGGAAGCCAGTTGTCCACCCTCAGCCTAACGTTCAGATGGCTGTGGCCTTAGCCAAGACCTGGAGTTCCATCTTGTGAGGGACTCTGTGCCAGGGCCACCTAGCCTAGCTGCTTCCAGATTCCTGTCCCTCGGGTGCTGTGAGGGCAACAGGTCGGCCCCATGTGAAGGGATCTCTGAGGCAGCTGTTGATAAGAAATGCCTTTACCTGCCAGTGCTCTCACAAAAATGAGGAGCAGGGACATGGCTCAGTCAGTAAAGTGCTTGCCATACAAGCCCAAGGACTTGAGCTTGGGTTCCCAGCATCTGTGTGAAGAAGCAGTGCACACCTGTAATTCTAGCGTGAGGAGGTGAAGACAGGAGGGTCCCTAGAGCTTGAAGGTCATAGTCTGGCTGAGAGACCGAGCTTCAGTAATAAATAGAAGGGACTGGAGCTAAAGCTCCGTGATAGAATCTTTGTCTCACATGCATGACACACAAGCTCTGTCCTTAGTCCTAAGGGGTTTAGGGGGAGATGGAGATGTGTCTGAGGAAGACACCCACCATTGACCTGCACACACATGCATACACACACACACCCTCAGAGAGAAAGAGGAGAGAAAGAGAGGTTGTTTTTAAAAGTTAAGAGTTCATATACATCAAACTGTTCCCAATCTTGCCAGGACTTGTGGTCATGAGCAATGGCCTGGATTCAGATCATACAGAATCCCCATTCCCGAACTGGAGGAACCTGAGATCCCAGGCCTCCACAGACAATGGCCAGATTGTATGTGAAAACAGAGCTCTGATTCGACCCGGCAGTCAGAAAGCCAAATAAAGCCCCCCTGTAGCAAACAGGCCTGAGTTTGATGGACAGCTGGCAGCTTCCCTAATTGTATCCTTAATCCTAAAGGACACAACTGGGAAAGCAGTATATTCCCCCCCCCAAACTGAGTCCACTATGCCCCTCTTCTGCTGAGCCCACTTAAAACTCTTCTGTGCCAACCTCCCCTGCCTTGGGCTTTTCTGCCTCTACTGTAAAGCTTCCTGCTCTGCATGCCTTCAGTCAGCAAGCCAGCAAGGCTGGCTCTTGCCCCAGCAAGATCTGGGTGAATAGCCTAGGCTTGTCCTCAGCAGTTGATCTTTGTTCACTTCCAGAAGCCTAAGCTCTCTCTTTTCCGGCCCACCAGGTCAAAGGCAAACACTTTTCTTCCCTTTCCATACCAAGTTATCCAGAGAAATCTACCCAGGGATGATGGAAGGGGTTAGGGGGACAGGCGACTGAAAGCTTACAGAACAGGGCAGTTGCCTCGTGTCTGCTGAGCATGCTCACTGGAACAGGTGGTGCCCTGAAAGCTCCCCTACTCACTCCCGGCTCCTACTCCTTTGCATCTGACAGCTGGGCTTCAGCTGGGTGGAGTCAAGGACACGGGCTCCAAGTACCGTTCTGAGCAGAATGGGCAAAGGACATAAACGGGCATTTCTCTAAAGAAATGCTGCAGCCAAAGCATAGCACAGACTGTCTGGGCCAGGCACTTGCAGTACAAAACAGCACATACACCCCAGAAGGCAAGACACGTCGTACCGTTTGCAACACAGAACACAGAGACAACCGGCAGGAGTTTGCGCCTAGGTGATAACATTCTATCGACCCTCCGCAGACGGCAGGGTTTTCCGTTTTTGGATGGTTGGCTCCACTTTTGCTAATCCGTGCCTTCTAAATTGTCTACAGTGACTTTTTCCATAAAATAAACAAATACATATAATAGAAACTGCCCCCCCCCAAATGACTTAATTTTAATGAATATATTAAATAGGGGTAACGCATGCAGCCAGACACGGGATAGATAGGCAAACACGTCTAGCTGCAACAGCCTTCAGCCAGGAAAATGCTGAGAAGGACCAGGAAGGACAGTGTGGCGCGGCCTGGCCATCCAGAGCCAAACCGGGTGGAGTGGATAACGGCTGGGGCCAAAGCTACCTCCCCCGACCCCTCAACCGCCGCGGTCTTAGAGTGAAGAAGGGCTCCAGACTGTCCCCGGAGGAGCCACAGTTTCGGGAACGGGCACTCCGGGGCAGCTTTCCACCCAGGACAGACAGGAACTGCCCAGATTGAGTCAAGGTTACTTGGCCGGGGAGGGTGGGGGTTGGGGAGGGGGAGGCTGCCTGGACGTTCTGACCCTTTCCAGGCGTCTTGGCGCAGGCTGAGCACTTGGGAAGGATCCGTGTCCCGGCAGCTTGGGCACCGCGAGTGGGCTGGGGCGGGGCGGGGTGGGGTGGGGCGGAGCTCCGCGGTTGCCAGGGGCGGGGCGGCGCGGCAGGCGTGGAGCTCCGTGGGCGACGGCCACGCACGGTTGGCTCTCTCCAGCTCGCGCGCCGCCTGTTGCTCTGTGCTCCGGGCCGGCCGGCCGTTTCCCGCCGGGGAGGTGGGCGGACCGCGAGAGCCAGCGCGTGGGACGCCTCCCGCCCTTCCTCTCCTCCCGGCGCAAGGCGATCCAGGGGTCCCTGGGCGTCCCCGACAGCGCGGACGCCCCCAGCTCCCGGCGCGTCCCGGCTGCGCGCTCAGACCCCGGGCGCCGCGCCGCGATGAACGTGAGCTTCCTGAACCACAGCGGCCTGGAAGAGTTGGGTGGTGACGCCCGAGCGGCCCTGGGAAACCGCAGCCACGGGCTGGGCACGTGGCTAGACTGCTGCCCCGGGGGCGCACCGCTGACGGCCAGCGACGGGGTCCCCGCGGGACTGGCGCCGGACGAACGCAGCCTGTGGGTGTCGCGCGTGGCGCAGATCGCCGTGCTCTGCGTGCTGTCGCTCACCGTGGTCTTTGGCGTCTTCTTCCTGGGCTGCAACCTGCTCATCAAGTCCGAGAGCATGATCAACTTTCTGATGCAGGAGCGCAGGCCCTCCAAGGACGTGGGCGTCGCCATCCTGGGACTGTACTGAGCGCCGGCCGCCCTCGCCAGGGTCGCGGCGCCCCACCGCAAGGAAGGGGACCGCAGAGACCCCTCTGGCCCACGCCTGGGTCAGCGACGGGCCTCGGACCCCCCCCCCCCCCGGGGACTTGGCGGCCGGCGGTGTGAGAAGGGACCCGTCATGTCAGACTGTCCTGTGCGCGCTCCAACCGGGGACACAGGGTTCTTCACGTTTTTTTTTTTTTTGTTTTTTTTTTTTTTTTTACAAAGAGAAGTTCGGAGCAGGGCGGGAGGCAGGAAGAGGGAGATGCAATGTGGGGCTTGGGTTTTTCTCGCGTGTGGATTTTCGGGCGTGTTGGTGGAGCCGGTTCCGAGGAGGGTGTACAGGGAAGAGGTGAAAAAAAAAAAATCACTGAGATTTTGCATCTGATTTCGAATTGCATCTGAAAAGAAATTTTGTAATAAAACCGTAGCCGTCGGCTTCCTGATACATTCTAACTGTGCCGGTGTGTGTGTGTGTGTGTGTGTGTGTGTGTGTGTGTGTGTGTGTGTG